GGCACCTAATAAATTTTAGTAGCTATTTCTGACTTATTCCTATTCTCTCCCTACCTCAAACACACACACACACACACACACACACTCATATACACATACACTAAGTAAAACAGAAGCAGGAAAAAAAAACCAGAAATAATCAGGAGGTACTTGCATTCAATGCAGAAATAGGAATCTTACTATCAATACCACATACAAATTCTATCATTTAACACTAATCTAAAAGTACTAAGTAAAGCAACAAAAGTAAATTTAAGCAAAGTTAAAAATATATGAAAAAGATCAATAAAAAGGCAAAAATTATTTGCAGCTTCATCTCTTGAGAATAACTAAAATCTGTTTTTTGGAAAGTAGATCAGTAACTTGACTAGTTGCAAAATAAAACATTAAACAGTGTTGCTTTATATTATTAGCAATTATTTTTCAGAAAAATACAACCCACTCAAAATAATAAGAAAACTAACAAAGCACCCACAAATCCAGCAGTAAACAAAATAAAGACTTTGGGGGGGCTGGGGATTTTAGACCAATGGTTTCGCCACCTGCCTTCCAAGTGCCAAGGGCCTGAGTTCGATCCCTGGTACAAAAAAATAAAATAAAATAAAATAAAGACTTTGGTCTCAAAAGGCTCTACTCCAAGGTTTAGATCTAAAATATCCCCCAAAAGTATCATATTTGGAGTTAAGGCCTGTTAAGAGGCAGCAGGTCACTGAGGTTAAGACTTAGAAAGGTGTATTCTTGTCCCCAGCTCCTCCCTTTTCTCTCTGCTGTCTGCCACAAGTTCAGCAGCTTTCTTCGGCTATGCCTTTTCACCATGTCATTTCTACCTTGGAGACAGCTCATCATGGACTAGACCCACTAAAACTTTTTTTCTTTGAGGGTAGAATATTGCATCTTATCCTAGCAAGAGGAAAGTAGTACAAACACACAACCTACACAAGAGGTACATATGACAAAATAGGTGGCAACAAGGAACAAGAAGCAAAATAGGAGCAAGGGTTAGAAAGTGATTTGAAGAACCACTTTAGATGTAGTGGTCCAGGAAGTATTTACTAATGATGTGACATTTGAGAAACCTAATCAAAATGAGAGTAGTACATTAAAAATAATCACAAGAAAGGAGTTTGGGAAAGAAAAATACCATGAGGAGAAAATATCCTCTATAAATTTATGGAAGAGCAAGGAAGTCTGTTTGGGAGCTGGAGCAGAGCAGAGAAGGCAGAGTGAAAACATTCAGAAATATAACTGACAGCCAAGTTTGGATACAGCCCAACAGGCACGCTAAAATGACTTCAGTATGTTTTAAGCAGAGGACCAACACCATCTGACTTGATGCTTTTTACTTTTTTTTTTTTTTTAAGATATGGGGTCCTACTATGATGTCCAGGTTGGCCCCAAACTCCAGCAATTTTCCTGCCTCAGCCTCCAAAAAGCAGCTGGGACAATAAGTACATGCCACTTGTATCTGATCTTTTCACAGCCTACTCTGGTTGTCATACTGCCAAGAAATCATAGCAGATGGGGCTGGGGATTTAGCTCAGTGGTTCCGCCAAATGCCTTGCAAGTGCAAGGTCCCAAGTTTGATCCCCAGTACAGGGGAAAAAAAAGAAACCATAGCAGAGGAAAGATACAAGTAAGGAGACCAAGCAACAGGCAGAGAAAGACTATGCAATACGAAGGTGAAAAACTATAGTGGAGCCAGGCGTGGTGGTTTATACCTATAATCCCAGCACTCTCAGAGGCTGAGGCAGGATGACACAAGATTAAGCCCAGCCTGGCAATTTAGTGAGACCCTGTTTCAAAAAGTAAAACTACTAGGACGCAGCTCAATGAGAAGACCCAGGTTCAAAGAGTACCAGAAAAAGAACAAAAACAAAATATTCAGACATGCCAGTGGATAGACATGAGCATTAGTAGTTTTTTTAAAAAGGATGGATTTTTAGATATACAAGAAAGGTAAGGCAGACTATATGTGTTAATGGACTAGATAGAGAGTACAAAACACAGAATGGAATAATGCACGGCTCCAAAGTTTTGTCTTGAACTACCAAAAAATAAAGAGTTGCAGTTTACTGAAATACAGAAAAGATGAGGAGCAGAAGGCAACTCACAGATTTTGTAGGGAATGAAGAGAAGACAGGTCAAGAGTTCTACACTGCACATGCTGTATTTGCCTTTTCACGTAGAATCTAAGAGGCAGAAATAAAATAGGACACTAGATACATGGTTTTTGAGTTTACATATATATATAGTGCAGGCAAGAAAAATCATAGACCACCAGCACTCATCATTTTCCAGAGTATCTACCAAGCGGTAGATATGGCATATTACTGAACAAAAGAGACAGGGAATATTTAAATCCTTAAGACTTAAGATGAACTCATTAAAGGAGTTTGGGTAGTAGAGAGGAGAAAGGGGATTGACTACTCTACTCCAAGGCACACCAGCAAGAGATCTGGAAGAGGAGGAGGTCCAGACACCAGGGGAGAGAAGCCCAGGCAGCCCAGGAAGCGTAATATTCTACAAACCAACCAACACAAATGGTTCATGAACATGGCAATTCAAACACTTCAGACAGACTAAGGAAATGTATGAATCAGAAATAACCACTCACTCAGTACTTTTAAAATGTTCTACCATGATTCCAAACTTTTGGCCATAGAAATTTTTTAAAAAAATATATATCTCATTCAGAAATAAGATTTTGAAAAAGCTACTGTGTACACTATTTCCAAGTTCTTTAAAAAGAATCAGAGTAAAACCACTTGTCTTCATTAAACATGTCAGTCAGTGATATCACAGAAGATAGCTTCATGGGATTCCTTTAAAAAAAAAAAGAAGTAACAATGGTCAGAACCAACTCTGTGAGACTATTTGCAGGGAGAAATCAAAAGTGTACAATAACCAAGCAAATTTTGGACAAACTAAGTTCTCGTGTGTGTCTATTTTTTTTTAATTTTCTACACAAGAATGGAAAGTCTACTTATTTAAAAGTTACCTGAATTCAAAATATTCTATCTGAGCCACATCCACATTTTTAATTTAATTATTTTAATCAAATACAATTCTTAGCCAATGGGACAGAGTACTACAGTTGGTCACTCAAGGGTTCATATGCAGTTTAAAGAGATTGTGGAACAATTAGAGGTGGGGCCTACCAAGAAGTAACAAGGCCACTGTAAAGCATTATCCCCAAAAGTGATCAAAACTAATCTTCCAAGTTAGGTCTTCAATTAGAGCAGGCTATTAGAATGCAAGGCCACTTGGTGCGCCCAGCCCCTTCTGAATGAAGCCAGTCCCCTTTCAGTTTCTCTGCCATGTTGAATATAGCCAAAGGACTCTCAAAAGAAAAGGTAGGAGGTCACTTCTGACTCTTAACTCCAAAACTGATAGCTAAAAAAAGCCTCTCTTCTCACAATTACCCAGCTTTGGATATTTTGCTATTGCAACAGCAACAAAAATAGACTAATACAGTAAAATGTTCCATTAATTCTGTCCTTCAAATTGTAAATTATAGTATTTCTCATGTCTGATTTTTTTTAGCCTTTGAATCCCTAATTATCATGATAAAGGCATAAGATTGTCCTATGAATTTGCCTGTCCAGTCAACATCCACAAAGCTCAAACTTTAAACGAAGGTCTTTTTTCATCTTAAAATGTACATTTATAGGGGCCAGGGGTTTAGTTTAGTGGTGCAGCGTTTGCCTGGTAAGTGCAAGGTCCTGAATTTGATTCCCGGTACCAGGGGGTTGCGGGGGAAATATATATATATATCACACATATATCTCACATACACACAAACACACACTTGCATTTCATTTGTAGAAAAAGTGACATGAAAAGATCTAACAAAACTAAAAGCAGCACTAAAAGTACAAAAATTCTAAAATAGCTCTATAGTGAATATTTTTACACTATTTGCATATCAACAAATAAATAAAAGAATTTATTTCCCATATCATTTATTTATTTTAAATAAATATGAAATCTGGGGAATCACTGAGCCCATCCATTCATAAACAAGTCAGAAAACCTCTATCATCTAATCTAACCTGGGATTATTTTGAGTTTTCTATTTTTATAACAATGGGTTTGGAAACATATAAATCAAGGAGAAAATAAGTAAAATGACACAAAAATGCTACGAATTCTAAGCCAAGCCTTAGTTTAGAAGAGTCCATAAACACTGAACCAGACTGATAGGAATGCCTTGATAAACAATGACAAAACCTATGTATCACTACTGAGAGAAGTATACTGGTCTCCAAAGAACCATGGACATATTAAAAGAAGACATTAAAACTTAAGGAAAATGCTTAAAATACACACACTAAACTCCAATTCCAAAAGAAACAGCATGTGCAAAGACCGGGGTAAGATGACCATGATATCTCTGAAAATAAAGTGTATACCCATATACTCTAGGAAACAGATGTTTTACTAAGATTGCAAAATACCTAAGGCCTCTAGGCTTGCATTGTCCTGTGTGCTTCATCTATTCCTGAAGAAGAAAACAACAGTATTCAAATACAGCTTCAGACTCTGTAAGGAACATAATGTGTTCTGCAAACAACTCAAGTCTTCCTACTCTACTGTAAGGGAAAATAGCCTATAGTAGCCCAGGATACACTCTAAATGTCTACTGCAGCCAAGACAGCACAGAGACACTTTTAAGAATTTATCATCTGGTTGATAGTTGATTAGATTATAATAAAAATAATAACTAAAAAATATCACAAATACTAAATGCCTAATAAGGATTAGAGTAAAAAAAAAAATGAATAGTGGAGTTCACTGAAATAATTTAGCAAAGGTTCACAGACTGAAATAATTTAACAAAGGTTCATGGAGAAGCTAGAACTTGAATGTGGACTTAGAGAAGAATATATCCTAGTATGGTGAAGCTGCCTGATCAATGAAAACTCCTCAGAAGTACAGCATCAAAGGGCACAGGCTTTCTGCAACAACTGCTAAGAAGGAGGCTTGCACTTCATACTTACTGCCATGTATGGCCTACACCCAGCATCTCTTGTCTTGGCAATGGAGTCCACAAGCTGTCCACTGATGCCAAAGTCACAGAGTTTAATATTTCCACTTCTATCCAGAAGAATATTGGAAGGTTTGATATCTACAAGTGATAGCATTTCGCACATAATTAATTAACCAAATGAGCTAATCTAAAAGAATTTGAAGCAAAAATACTGAAATACATTAGATAACATAAGTAGCTAAGTCCTTAAATTCAGATTGTAAGAAGGAAAACATCTTCATTTAGCACATACAATCAAGTTTTAAATACACAACTTTAACGACTAGAATTGTGTTCATGTAACAGCCCAACTCAATTCACCAACATCTTACTGCAAAGCTTACAGATGGATGTTGACTGTTCTCTTAACATCTTCATATTTATAAAACATGCATAAAACTATGGTTTTTCTCTATTATAAACAGGAAGTTTTTAAATGTCAACACTTAAAAATTAAATAGTAAAACATACTTATCAATCAACTTAGCATTCTAAAATATTTCCTTTATTTTCATCAAGAGGCTTTTATTCATTTTCTTGGTCCAAATACTTACATAATAGTCAAAATAGATTGAATAAACTTATCCTATTGGATAATACAAAGCTAATCTACAATAAATTTCAAAAGCTATACACCTAAATATAAGGCCATACAAATTATGAATTCACTATTTCATTAGAGCCTTATCTCTTTAGGAAAGTAGTATCACACACATGAACATCATTCACTCTCTATACATGCAGCCACTTAATTATTTCTAAGAGATTTTTTTCTCTTCTTAGATTCCTGGACTCATCCTTGAGACATCACACTCATTTTTACTACATAGAGAACGTATGTTTTCCCTGAAAGTGAAGAACACCAAAGTCCCTTCCTCACTGGCAGCGTTACCAAATGCTCTCTGGTCCATTTTCCGTCTTTGCTCATTAATTCTCTATCCTTACTGAAATCCTTATATCACTTCAATGTCACTAGCAGGACTCAATGAATAAAACGAATTATAAATACAGGACACAAAGAAAAGCTATATAGAGCTCAGAAAGTGGCCCACAAAAAAATCTTAAACAGACCTCCTTCCATCAGTGACAGAGCCAACTACTGTATGTCTGAAACACCCATGCTTAACCATTCATTCAGTTCTTTTAAATGGAAGCTAAGCCTTGCGCAGCTATTCTCCTCTGTATGGGCCTTTCTACACCTCAACATTAGGTTCCTAGTTGGCCTCAGCTTAGTAAGTGTTACAGCTTATATCAGCATGTCACCCTTAAAGCCTCATGCTCTCAAAGGTAGGGCTTTTTGGATTGACTAGATCATGGGTGTGTAATACTGGATCATAAGTGTATAATATGGGATTAGTCCACTGACTGGCTTAGCAGAGTTTTGATGCAACTGAATGATAGATTTACTGGAGGAAAGATCCATTCTTAGTGCAGGTGGCACCAATCAACAGTCTTGGAACCTGGATGGAATAAAGAGTAACCTGCCTGTCATGCCATGGGCTTTTTCTCCTCTGCCATGCTGCCCTGACTTGGAGCTAACTAGCTGGACTGAAACCTTTATAAACTAAAGTAAACCTTTCCTCCTTTCACACTTGTTAAGTGTTGGGTATTTTATCCTAGCAAAGAGAAAGTCTGTAAGACAGGATAATCTCACACTCCTTGACAGTAACTAGTTTGATAACATGAAACAATTCTCATGAATGAGACAGGAAAATAATAGAGACATGCAGAGAATATTTCCCTGCTCTTTAGACAGCCACACAGGAAATGAGAAACTCTTTTTCACGAAGTTGTCTAGATGTAACACTTGAGAACTGCTGCAGTTACTATTATCCTGAGGATGAAGTCATCACAAAAAGGAGGACAGTCAAAACAGAAATTGGGCTTCAAAGCCATTCTGCCTTTGAATTGTTGAGGACAGATAATGAATTTACTTACGTTTAAGCCATTTATCAGTATTTTGTGTTACTTGAGTTCAAAGTAAATTTACAACTTTAACTGCAACAAAAAAGCTGCTATGGTTTAAATGTGATGTGGCTCTGAAGGATTCGTGTATTAAGGGATTGATCTCCAATGCAGCAATGTTCAGAAGTGGGGCTAGAGAAGTGTTTATCAATGGACTAATTAATCCATTGATGAGATCATAATTTGATGGTATTATTGAGAGGTGAAGGAACTAACAGACCCTAAAAGGAGTAGTTTGTGGAGGTGTAACCTTAGGGACTGTTTCTTTCCTGGACCCTTCCTGTCCTTTCCTTTCCACCTCCTTCCTCCCATGAAGTAGCTTTCCTCTGCCACACCCTTCCTCATGTAGCTGCCTTACCACAGGCATATAAGCAATGCAGCCAACTAACTATGGACTAAAACTTCTGAAACTGTGAGCCAAAATAAATATTTCCATCTTAAAGTTGATTTAGGTCAGGTATTTTGTCACAGTGATAAAAAGATAACATAAAAGCTAACTGAGAAAAAGTTATTGCCAAGGACTTTAGATTTGACTATTAAGCAGGTAGCACCTAGTTACCTGTAACCATCCATTATTTCTGAAAGATTTTTCTTTTACTAGATAGTTTCATCCAGTTTTTCCCATAATTTTTTTTTCTTGGACTCATCCTTGAGACATCATACTCATTTTTACCACAAGCAGAATGTATGTTTTCCATGAAAAGTGGAGAACACCAAATCCGTTCCTCACTGACAGCTCACTACCAGTATGAGCCAATATGCTCTTTAGTCCATGTTCCCCTTTGCTAATTAATTCTCTGTCCATACTGAAATCCTTATGTCATTCCACTGTCACCATCAAGGCCCAGTGAATAAAGATTTATAAAAAGATCAATGAGTACTGACAAATACTCTAAAAGGTGATACTCTTTATGATTATACAACATGGCAGAAAGGGGAGGAAAAAATCAACTACAAAAGAAGCAGGCAATTTCATTTGGGGGACCTAACTACATTATTTTCAGCCACAGCAAAAATAAGATGTTGATTTAAGATTATTTTTAACAAGCATTAAGCGAGGCAAAATTTAATAATATACTCTGATGCTCAGAATTAAATAATTTCCAGAGTCCAGTGTCAATCACAAATTAAAAGCACTTAAATAAATTACCCAATTACTAATTGATTTAATTTCTACAAACATGTGCTAGAATTATTATGTTTTCCACTGCTATGAATTTGATCTTGTGTTTTTTGTCCTATTTGTTATCTGGATGAATCACATAGTGCCATACACTCTCTTAAATTTGTCCATCACAAAGTTACCGAGGCAGTGATGCTGTATACTTCTTCAAGGCTACCATATGACTACTGACTCTGCAGTACTAAGAAGAGTAAGTATTTAATCTATTTGCTAAATTAAACTCAGGAATCCCAGAGAGTTGCTGCCTTTCTGAATTGGTTTTCAACTACATCAAAAGTTTAAATTTGAAACTGTGCCTAATAAGATAAAGATCAACATTTTCACAAATACACTGTGCTTTAGAAAAATTTCAATTTACAACACTAAGTAAAACATCTCTCAATTCACAGAAATATCTTTTAAAGTGAAGAAACACTTGATAGCTTTAAGAAGCTTGAGGGTAGGAGATGGGGTATAGTTTGGTGGCAGAGTACTTGCTCAGTAGCAGATTAAGAAAAAAAGTATTTCTACTGTATAAAATGCAATCCATACCCACCTCTGTGAATAATTTTCAAGTTTTCTTTTAAGTGGTTTAGTGCTTTCACAGTCTAGGGAGAAAAGAAGTGATGAGATAAAGAAGTTGTTTCTTTTTCATAAAACAGTGCAACAATTCATCATAAGCTACAGTACTGCACGTAGCCATTTGTCAGATTAATATTTCAATAACCTGCCTGTCATATTTGGTTACCTGAAAATGCTAAATAATGACTTAAGATCTGAAAACTTAGTTGTCTTTACATGCTGTTTTCTGTCAGTTTAAAAAAGAAAGCACACAGTTTAGTAAGTCATTAAAATTTGTATTGTGTTTTTTTTAAGTTGAACCTTTTCAAGAATAAAAACAGTGTAAGAAAATCCCAAGCTGGACATGGTGTCACAAGCCTGTAATCCCAACACTTGGGAGGCTGAGGCAGCAGGATTGCTGTCAGTTCGGGGCCAGCCTGGGCTATACAGTGAGTGAGCTCATTACCAGCCTGAACTACATAGCGAGACTCTGCCTCAAAAGAAAAGAAAAGTAAATCCACTGAAATAATTTGTTATCAACAGTAATGATCAATAGATTTCCCTAGTTCTCAATGCCTCACAATTATTTTCCCTCATTGGATGCTGAGATTAGATTTCAACATCATTTTTGCACAGGCAGGGTATCTGGTAGCCAGTGTTGCAAATTATTCACAATTCATCATGTTGCTTGATTGCTGCTCATGATCAGGGAATCAGATTTGTATTCATTAGTATATGTTTCTGATACACAATAAAAAAAAAACAGATTTATTCAGAAAAGAAAAAATGGATACTTGAAATAAAACTGCACAACTTCAAGCTAGGGGGGAATAAAGCAAAAGGCCAGCTGTTGGCTGTAAAAGCCAAGTCTCTACCACCATCAGGCTTCTGAGTATGAGGAATGTGGAACAGACAAACCCAAAATATGCAAACAGTTGTGTTTGTAGGTTCACTGGTTTACTAATGAGCAAAAGACTTAATACAAAGTAATTTTAAATGTTGTACTTAATAGATAATGGGATCGCCAAGTCTGGAGACACAGGCACACATAAAATACCTTTGCAACATATAATAAAATAATTTTCTAATTTCATGGCCATCATGTTATTCAGTGGTTAAGAGTACACTCTAGGGCTGGGGATTTAGCTCAGCGGTTTGGTGGCATGCCTTGCAAGCGCAAGTAAAAAAAAAAAAAAAAAAAAGAGTACACTCTAGAACCAGGCTATCTTGCCTTTGACCATGTACCACTTACAGCATAAATATCAAAACAAATTAATTACTTAGCCTTCCCATACTTCAGATTTATCATCTGTTAAAAATGCAGGAATACATTTACCATAGAGAGTTGTCATTAAAATTTAATATTATGAGATCCTGGCTTAACACAAAAACTCAGTCATCATAAATTTTACGCTAACAATAGAATCTTGGAACTGGCTATATTCATAACAACATAAACAATAACTACATTTAGTATACTGGAAAGAGATGGCTAAATTGATCAATGTAAGATTTTATATACTCATCTAAGTTTCTAGTTTAACTCTGCTCTTTTTTTATACATTAAAATTTAGCTAATTCATAAAAATGTACGTTTAATCATTGATTTTGGGAAAATGATAGTTTTACCATAAGATTTATCAAGACAAAAATAACAACAATTTACAGTAACTGAATTGAGTTTTTTAAATATACATATATCTCACTAACAACTAAAATACAGTTTAGAAAGTATATTTTTAACCAATTTTATTAACTTTTAATGATTAACCAGGATAGTCAGTCACAGTGGAGGGAGAAGACGTACACAAAAAGAGACACAGAAAACTACATGCAACCTAACATGTATCTTAGAGCTTCCTGTAAAATTTAATTTATATCAACTAACCCAGGATGTGTCACTGGCTCAGATTCTCAGGAGTTTCTAAAAAGTTTAATGATTTTGCTTTATTAAAAATAAATTACCTTTCCTTTTTAAAAAGAATTTGTAAATATCTGTCAACTAAAAGATTCAAAGCTAGAAAGAAAGTGATGATGAACTTTCAGAACTATAAATACATACTCAAAAGAGTACTTTTTCTTCTCTGATACTCTGGTAAAATGAAGTGATCAAATTAATAGTAATGGTGGTTCATAAAATTGCTAGTCAACACTTTAAAAAGTTTACACTAGATAACCCAAATCTTAAACCACAGGAAATATACTCTTAAGATTGAAATTAATAGGCTTTAAAGAGACTTCTTCAATTCTGATTAGTTTACCACTGAGTGGTAATATAACCAATTAAAAATAGTTAAGGCAACAAGGAACAATGGACAGAAAATAACTTTTGTAATCTTATTTACAGTACAATCCTTTATTGTTCTTCAGCCTCTGAATGAAAAGAAAAACTGTTAGTATTTACCTATGCCAAATTTGAAAAATGATCTTATGGCCTATTGTGCTCATTACCCCCACAGAAGTAACTCTGTCTCTTTCACTATTATAAATGATTTTCTTAGACAGTCCTAACCTGTAAAGGACATTCAGTTATGTGCATTTAAAATACTAGTAATTTCTTTATATAATCATACATACAATGAACAATTTAAAAAACAAGTACTTACTGCTAAAGTGATTTTGCCTAAAATTTCTTCTGGAATAACATCATCTAATACACTATATACATATTTGTAAAACTTATCAAACGAGGTAGACATGAGTTCCATACAGATCCAACAGTCACCCTATAAAATAACAAATATCTGTTATTCTTATGTCTTAAAAGTAAGTACCCTTCCAGAAATACAATTAGAAAAGAATCAATCTTACTCTTTCTTATATTGAACCTCAAACAGGAGATAATTTTTGGCCTTATTAAAGCCGTGGGCAGAACATTAGTCTTGGATTTAAACACTAACTGTGATCAAAGCCAATTTTACCTACTTTTTTTTTTTTTTTTTTTTTTTTTTTTTTTTTTTTTTTTTTTTGGTACCGGGGATTGAACTCAGGTCCTTGTGCTTGCAAGGCAGGCACCAGAACCACTGAGCTAAATCCCTGGCCCTTACCTACTCTTAATTGCATGGATAGGGACCGTTTTACATTAAAAAAGGTTTACACGTTTATAAAAATTTAAAGTTTTGCTATAACAACACAAATTAGGAAATATATGAAAAACCATCCATTCTCACTAACAAAGTGATGACACCAAAAAATACAGTAGCAAAATAAATAAATAAATTAACTAACTAACTAACTGAAACAACCTGCTTGAATACTACCGTCTCAGGGAGGACTATTCTTAACTAATATAAAATACAAATCAGCCTGCCTGGCACTGCCTCATCCTTCTCTATGCTGTGCAAGCCTCCCCATCTTCTAAAATGGAGTCTAACTTACTTATTATGTTTATTCTGTTTATCATATCTTCCCTACTAGAATGTAGCCTCCACCACGACAGAAGCTCAATGACTCTTTCTTAAAGGAATGAATGCAGGCTACAATTCAGCTGAACCATTCAACCACTGATGGTAACATTACAGATTGTTTTAATCTTTGAAAGCAATTCTACAATAAGACAAGAAAAATACTGTAGTTTCCAGGGCTGGGATTTACCTCAGTGGCACCACTCCTGCCTCAAAAGCCCAAGGTCCTGAGTTCAATTCCAAGTACCACACACACACACAAACTGTACTTCCCACTTAACTACTTTTTGCAGTATCAGTTATTTGTGCTCAACTCCAATTCAGTAATACTAAATAAAAAATTCCAGAGATAAACAATAGCTTAGTTTTAAACTGAGCACTGTTCTGAGTAACAGGATAAAATCTCATGCCATCCTGTTCCATCCTGCCCAGGACATAAGCCACTCCTTTATCCAGCATATCCACTTTGTATACACTACCCACCTGATAAGCGAGGGCTATTCTTAACCACTACTGCAAGTTGTTAGACCTACTGCCACAGTACTCCAGTGTCTATGTTCAAGAAACCCCTACAATATTATAATTATTCTATTTTATTACTAGTTATTATTGCCAATCTCTTACTGTCCCAATTTCATAAATTAACTGTTATCACAGGTATGTACATATCGAGGAAAATAGTATACATCGGGACTGGTAATATCAGTGATCCCAGGCATTCACTGAGTGTTTGGGAATGTTACTCCTGCAAATGAGGAAAGACAACTGTAAATTTCTCAATATTATTTAAAAGAATCATCCCATGAGTGGAAATATAACTTAAATATCCCATAAATTACAAAAGCAAAAACCAAGAAATAGGCTCTATCATGAAGTAGAACTCTTACAGCAACTAGAATTACTTCTTTGGACAAATTTTTTTTTAATTTTCAGACATGGATTAAAGAATAACTAACTTCTAGAATCTTTTCCTTTATAAGACTTCATATATGTTTATTTAATGCTATGTTCAGTTCTGTTGAAAAGAAACGGCAACTTTTAAACCAGTAACAATAGGGCCAGGAGTGGTGTGCACGCCTGTAATTCCAGCACTTGGGAGGCTGAGGCAGGAGGATTGCTGTGAGTAAGAGATAAGCCTGGGCCACAAAGTGAGCCAGGTCACATGTAATTCCAGCACTTGGGAGGCTGAGGCAGGAGGATTGCTGTGAGTAAGAGATAAGCCTGGGCCACAAAGTGAGTTCCAGGTCAGTCTCAACTACATAGTGAGACCCTGTCTCAAAAAACAAAAAAATAAACAAACAAAAAATAAATCAATAACATCAAAAACACTGATGTTATACTCTGTGATCCAGTTCCCAAAAGGAAAGGAACAGGACGTTAATTTTTCTTTCCAGTTCCTAACAACCCCACTGCTCCTTTTAACATTTTCAAGGTAAGAATAGTATTTTTAAGAGCAGGAGGGGGAAGGGGCCAAAAAAAGAATTAAAATGTGTTTTGTACACATACAGACTCCCCATGATAAATGTAATCATGTAGTGCAAACATGTACTAATAACATAATACATTTATAATTATTTTTGTAAAAAGAGTATATACACTAAAAGTATAAAGAAGTTTCAAATTGTGTAACTGATAATGTAAAATAAGAAGAAAAGGGCTAAAGGAGTCGGGGAAGGGGAAGGGTAGGGAAAAGGAAAGAAGGGAAAAGAAAAAATATGAAAAAAGGAAAAACTGGAAACAAAGTCTTTGTAAATAGGGAAGGGTAGAGGGGTGAAAGGAGGGCAGGGATATAGGGAAAAATGAGAAGACCTGTCATGTAAAGGTACAAGATGAATGAAACTGTACTGTATACCTACAAAGTACCAATAAAGGGCCAGGGATTTAGCTCACTACCTGCCGCGCTAATGCAAGGTCCCGAGTTCAATCCCCAGTACCGAAAACAAACAAGCAAACAAAAGTACCAATAAACTTAAAGAAAAAAAAAAAAGAGAGAGTATATGAAATGACTTGTTCAGGTCAGTGGTAACTAAAAAGCACAATTTTTGATGATAGTCCAGGATATCATTAAGTATTTCATTTATTTGCTTAAAACTCTAACTTTATTCCTGGTCTTAACTTGCACCATAGTTTTAGGCAGTTGGATGACTAGAAATAAGTGTGTGGGTTGACAGAGGTATATTGGGACACAAAATAACAAGAAGCCAAAGAAACATGAGAAAAAGAAATAAAAAGTGTTAAGTCTCTACACAAACACCTAAATATCAGAATCAGAAAAAATAATTTCTACTATAATTATTAAATTGCATGTCTGATCAGTATAACTAAAGATTATGGGTAGAAAAAAATAAATGTTTACAATAAATATAAATACATGATAAAAATCAGTGAAGTTAAAGTGGAGTCAAGAGAAGTAGAATCTGAACTCACAGCAACAGTAATGACATTTAGATTTGTCAGGTTCTTAAAAGACAAAGTATTTGTGAACTAAGAAAAAAATCACGATATTCATAAATGACACCCAGAAATACATATATTTAGATATATGAGATTCGTGTGTGTGTGTGTGTGTGTGTGTGTGTGTGTGTGTGTGTTGATTCACCTCTTATTTAAGGAAAAATTAGTTAATGTTAGATTAACATGACTATACTGAAATAGTAAGATGTTAGCTTATTACCCACATGTCATGTAGCTGAAGATTAGTCTAATGTTGTCATCCTCTTACTTGTCCCAATTAGATATTCATTTATTGGCTAAAATCCACATAGTTTATTCCTACCTCTCTGAAGAGTGCACCATAAAACTGAACAATGTATGGGCAATCACTACTCCGCATTACAACATCCAAATCCATAAGAAGCTGTTTTTGTTCTTTTTCATCCACTGTTGACCGTATTCTCTGAAAAAAAAAATTACAATAGATGTCAGAAAAACATTTAACAATTTCAGAAACTCACGTAAATCCTTTTCCACAAAACTGAAAACTTATCAGACTTCACAATTACTAACCAGATACAAAATGTTTCATCTTTTACTTCTTTTTACAAGAATAATTTTTATCTCAGAAAATTTAACAAAATAACACCTAAGAATTCTTTGAAGGGCACAGTTCTTTTGAACCAGAAACATCCATTAATGATATGGGGGTTATACAATAAAATTATTGGACAATGAAAAATAACGCCCACATGCAAATATAAAGAAAATCACAAGTTATAATGGTTTTCATATGAATGATTGTAAATAGCTTTATTTATTTTTAATTACCATTTCAGAGTTGTGGAGTCTAGCATCCAATGCAAGAAAATTCAAACTATATACTCCCTAGCATCCCCATACCACAACGTCTTCATTCATTAGATATGGGAAATAGTCCAATGCAGGAAAAAGTGAGTACTAGAGTAAGGGCAAAACACAGACAAAAATCCAGGCTTCTCAAATGCTACACTGGGATGCTCTTCCTTCACTGAATTATATATTAACAACAAAAACTTTTGTCTGACTCTCTAACTCATGAGTCAACATATGGCTCAGCAAAACTCTATGGAAAAATCCCTAAAACTGAAGAAACAGGAGCTCTTTTTGTGTATTCCTACTCTGATGAGGAACTCCTCTGTATATCACAAACCTGGGACATATATGCCTAACCAACCTGTATAACAACTTCTCTGTACATTTCTAAGAGACTTCCACAAAACTTTAGTACCTCTCTACCTTTCACCTCCTACCCAAGAACAGTGTAAGATGTTCTGAGGGATAGTTCCTACTCCAGTAGAGAAGATCAAATCAAGCTCAGAAAATGTAATACATTAACAATAAATCTATAGTTTAATATTAAAGCATGCAAACAACTATTCTCATAAAAAGTTCACAAAGTCACACCGCGCCACTGTGTACAATAGGTAGCACATACTTACAAGGCAAGTTAGTATCAAAAAATATATAAGGTAGCATTTTGTCTTCCAAAGACTTCCAGGTGTCTGTCCTCAATATTCTTGAAAGGGAGGAAGGAAGTCAATTAAATTCTTGAGCCCATTTTATAGAAGAGAAGCCAGAGCACAAAGAGATACAAAAGATGTATTCCATGTGACATGAGAATGGCAGTAATTTCAAGAACAAGAAGTAGGTTCTCTCAGTTTCATTTTTGACATTAAATGAGGAATTTTATATACTCCAAATATAAACGAATTTAATTTTGCTACTTAAAATATATATCTTGCTAGCTATCATATTTCATACCACAGAAATATATTAACTGGCTTGTCTTATATAAACTGATTTAAAACTTTCATATAAAGTATCACTGCCAGATATAAAAATAAAAATAAGAATAAAACAGTAAGAAACTAGTTCTGTTAAAGTTAAGAAAATTTCACCTTACTCTCCATCTCATTTGTAAATTTTCATAGTTTGGAAATTAGTCATTTTGATTTTAAATCAACATTGGCATGTCTCCTCAAAAAATATGTATTTTAAAAGTTAAACTAGCCAAAAGATTTTTGTTTATTCAAAATATGACATTGACAATTTCTATAATCATTCTAAATACATTTATTCTTGCTTTAAACACATAACTGAAAGTATGACTGTGGGGGCCGGGGATTTAGCTCAGTGGTGCTGCCGCCTGGCTCACATGCACAAGGTCCCGAGTTTGATCCCGGGTACCAAATAAAAAAGGTATGGCTGTGAAAATATTTATTCAAGAGGTGATTACTCTTTTAAGGATCTTAGTAATGCATATTATCTAAATTTAAAACAAAGGGTTGGTATCTATAGACAAATGCAAATGACTTTTTGTTGGGGAATATTTCTACCAACTGGTTAAAAATTTTTCTTTCACATTAAAAAAGATTTTTTTTTATATTTGCAAATATACTAACAAACATTTATTTTATGATACCCTTTTTGCTCGTTTTGGTTTTCCTAAACTGGTGATGTGGTTTCCTAAACTTGCCCTTCTATAAATGCTTTTATTCCAATTTTTTTGAAAGCGTATGACAGTCAAAATCTCAAGAGTTATCAGTGCTTGACTTTTGGAAGCCAACTTCCAAAAACCCTGTGATAGCTACAGAAAGTATACAAGCTACAGCACCTATTAGAGGCCCAAATGAAATCCCTGTATCTGCCTGATTATCTAATACTAAAACAGTGCCCGACAAAATCATACAGAATTGTAGTCAGAATGTAGAGAGTTCTAATCTTTGAGATCATCAGATAGCAGGAAAATCATTCTTTGATGCTATATCTAGCACAAAACAGAACATGGAAAAGCCTGGATGGGCTACTGGTTTAATACGAAATTGATGGTGCTCCTGGATGCTTTCCAACATATTAACACCTCCTCATACTCTCCAAATGTTCTGTCTCAGTGACCGGTGGTGCACAAAAAAGTAGCTAGCAGCTAATACTGCATCTGAAATATTTGAGAATGAGCAAATATACACCAAAGTTGTAAGACTGGTTATAAGAGTAGTGTATATGAGCACTTAATAAACGAATTCAAAAGGCCTAAGGGATACTCCCAAAGGAGATTAACTATAAACATACACCAACAATAACAGTAACATCAAGTTAATGAATCTGATTCAGTAACTCAATTCAAGTTGAAGAATATTTCATGATAATGAATGAATCAAATCAGTAAACAGTAACAAAAAAACACTCAGAAATTTTCTTCTAGGAAAACCAAAGCAATATGTATGGGAAAGACTTCTAATATTTGAAACAAATGAGATCAGGACCTTCTAATATTAGGTACCAGAATTATATAAAATTGAACCTGTCAATGAGAATATAATTCCTTTCCCTTTATAAATGTGTCCTAAAATAAGGGGGCACAGAAATACCAAAGTGCAAAGATGAAGTAATTATGTTACTTGAAATTCTCTGGTAATCACAATGTTCAGAAATCAAATCTATTTATAAATGCTTTTAATTCCTAAGAAATTTTCATTTATTTACATCACAAATTTAAATTAGGTAAAGCTTTCATGTATTGGGGCTCAACAAACTTTTTTTCCCTCATTTACATAGAAGATAAAAAGTCCACAAGAGATCAAAATATCTTGTCATCTCAAGAATCGTAAGATTTAGGGCTGGGGATAGGGCTCAGTGGTTTCACTGCCTGCCTTGCAAGCACAAGGACCCAAGTTAGATTCCTGGTACCAAAAAAGAATCTTAAGTTTTAAACAAGTTTCCTTTTCAACCAAATATCAATACTCTTTCAAAACCATTCTTTTTCTTCATTATAAGGTTGAACTCTCACACATTATTAGCTTAAATTACTTCATGCTCTCATGGCAAGTTAAACCATCTTTCTTAAAAAACAATTTGCATCTCTTTTGAAAATGAAAAGTAATTTTTGTAGTTTTACTTTATTTGAAGATAATGTAGAGGAAACATCTGAAATGAAAACAAAGCTGAAGCAGTGGCCCATGTTTGTAATCCTAGCACTGTGGTAGGCTGAAGCAGGAGGATTGCAAGTTCAAGTCCAGCCTGGGCAATTTAGTGACAGCAAGAATCTGTCTCAAAACTAAAAAATAAATAAATAAAAGATAAAAAGAACTAGGGCAATCTCTGGTACCGCACACCAAAAAAAGAGAATTATTACCCTACATATAAACTGCTTTCCAGTGAAGAAAAAGTTATACACTTTTTTTTTCATGTTGAAGATTTTTACTACTGCTACAGTTCTATGAAATTCCCACAGAACTGTAAGGGTTTAAATACACACAAACAACAAAAATTGAAGCTTTAGAAGACATTTTAAAATAAAAATAAAGAGACATTAGATTGTTTTCCATGTTCATTTGAATGTAAGGTGTGATTTAAAATCATCCAAAAAATAAAAACAAACAAAACAAAACCCTGCACAATAGAACAGATCATACTTGTATAACTGACATTCTGAGCCTTGAGGAAAAGAGAAAGATAGGGTCCTGGGAACAAATTATACGGGGAGGATTTCAGGCCTGTATTTTAAAATATATGGTGAGACAGACACCTAGGGCCTTGCTCATGTTAGGCAAATGCTCTATCACTAAGCTATTTCCCAGGCCTTTTACTCAGTTTTTGTATTGAAACAGGGTCTGGACTGACTTGCCTAAACTGGCCTTGAACTTTGTGCTCCTCCTGCCTCAGCCTCCCAAGTAGCTTGGATTACATGTGTGCACCACCTTGTCCAAAATAAAATATATTTAAAGTGCCCATATTTGTATTAAATATTGCTTATAGGCCCAATAAAGTTTTAAAGATAGGTAAATTTCAATAAAAACAGCATTAAAAATACCAAAATGACTCCACTAGAGTCACACAAAGAATAAATTCCCAGTTCTCTGGTTTTAGGACTGGTTTTATATATGATCAAATTTTTAAAATGAGTTTTGTTTTTTCAAACTACTAATCCAATTCATGCTACTAGTTGGAGTAAATAAAAATTCACTTACTGGGCTTACTGGGAATTCTATATCAACTAGGCTACAGCACTCAAAAGTTAACAAGTCCCATGGGACAAGTTAAAAATGTTCAAAAAGAAATATTCTCCTGCCTTCTCCTGTCTCATTTCAAAACACAGGAATGCCCACTTTGAGAATAGTCCCAATCACATAGAAATGGCTCAAATTCCAGATTGTTAAAAGGTTACTGTGTTACTTCCTAGGCACTGTGCCATTAAGAAGCCATTGGTATTTTTAAATGTTGACAAAAGTTGGCCTCGTGGAATGCCTCAAGTTTTAATAACTTGAATTTATAGTATAAGTATTTTTACTATTTTATTGTTACTGAACACCTATATAAATGTGGTGCTGTTCTAGATGTCCTCTAATTTTACATTGCTATATCTAGAGCAATTCTTGCTTCACGATAACATGATTCTCGACACTTAGGTCTAAACCTGCCAAC